CTAGTATATTTTTGCTCTAGTTAGTGAAGTATGGATACCTGCTATGATGATATCTGTCATAGTACAGACAAGAGCTTAGCACAGTTTTAACGGGGTCGCAGGACGGTGATCCGGGGACTACTTCGCACAATTCAACAGTCTTCCTTACGTGGCAATCATCCGTCGGTTTCAGGTTAGACTACATCACGAATTTCTTACTATTGGCTTTTCCTTCTAAATGGATATTCATGTCTCGATTGCTACAATTGTTTTCAGGGGTAATTTGCCACGGAAATTTATCAGTATTAGAATACTGATACCCACTTAACTTGCCGAAGAAATCTCTGTACATGTATCCCGTACCCAGTTCGATACTGGTAAAACACAACAGCATATGAAAATATAGCTTGGTGTTCAAAATGATTTCAGATTCACCTAAATCCGCTCTAATCTTTTCGCACTATTCATTAAACCTTGAAATGAACTTTGTCCAGATGCATATGCATATGATTTTTTTGACATATTTGATTAATCACTCGCTTTGTATGTTAATCCTTCCATGCTGCTGTGGATCTTCCTTTGCCTTCTAAAACCTCTCAACTCTTGCATGTTCTAATTATTCGTCTCCTGTTCCGTGATTCTATTCTTCCCTCAATCGCCTATATCACAACTTTCACATCTTTAATAATCACTGCTGACATTGCCAACATAAAACCTTTTTCTATAATCATTCATCCCTCTTTATCATAATAACCACAGGCGCCACCTTCAACTGGGGCGCCTGTCTCGGCTACTCAGCTGTGGCTGGCCAGCTCGACTGGGTCTGCGTCCCTTTGTATGCCGCCGGAGTGTTCTGGACACTGATCTACGATACAATTTACGCCCATCAGGTCGGTGCGTCAGCTGGGTTTTGCTCTACCACCTCCATCCATCTTCATTCCTTACTTCTTTGTTTGTATTCACTTCTATAGCTTCTTCATCTATAAATTGATAGAAAAGATCCTTTAAACTATACGGAGAATTTATACCCTTATTCTGTTCCTCTTCGCATAAGTTATTTTAGGCAAATGCCATTAGCTATTTTGGGGACTATAGTAACAACATTTTATGTAGGAGGATGCATAAAGTATATTAATAATCGAATTTGATATATTAATATGTGATTGCTGATTTAGTTTGGATGAAATTGATTAATTACGCATATATATGCACCTATGGGCTTAACCGACACAGATATTTAAACTT